CGAGTTGGTCAAGATGAAGGTCAGTTCAGTCCCAGCAGCCTGTTATATAGTGCAACATGATCGGGATAATGAGTTCTTTTCATCCAACCTGGTCATAAGTGAAGAAGGAAAGAGTAGGAAAGGCTCATCATAAAAATAAAACAGGACCAGTACAATAGGGGTCTGATGATGCTGGAAGAGATACTTGTCGAACAAGTCTGAAATAGTCAACGTGTACTCATTGACATGACCGCTCCTCAACATCGGTTGGCAATCATTCGCTACCTGGCGCGGAAGTGATATAGGCTGGAGACTATATCTTGCCTTCCTACATTTATCCAGACAGCCAGATTTTTCGAAAACGACTATAGGCAGCCCGTCTCGGTAAACTGATACCACTGCGAATGTTCACAGGGCTCAAGGGGACACACATGACCTATCTGGTGTCCAACGAATGTCGATCGGCCTAGGAAGAAGATGAAACGTTTTCAAGGAATGTCGGCACTTACTGTACCCTAGGTATTAATAGTGCGCAGTATTCAGCCAGAAGATGCCGATTACCCCAGAGGAAACAGCTGGACGTAAACGTACATGATCCCTGCGGCTAATAAAGGAAAGGCCAGGACTTCCCTGGAACACCTATTTAGCCTGTACTTGAGCCTCATCAGTAAACCCATGCATCATCCTTCAACCTCATGTCTCCCAGGGCCAACACGCTGCTACCGGTTCAAAGCATGATCCATGATCCAGATAGTTCCAGGGTCATTATACAGTTGCTAACTAAGACATTGGCTACTCACCCCCGTAAAGCCGGCAGTGCAACCGACCCCAGACTCTCCCCATGTTGAGTCTCGGTTGAAACAAATCACACAACGCGTCGCATTGCGAATTCAATACTTCGTACTAGTATATGGCTAATAGCGGACCAATGACGATCTTGCTTGACCATCTGTGCTTTGATCACCACTTTCCCCTTCCATCCAGGTCAAGGTCAAAGTTGCAACCCCACGGAAGCGCGAGGTGCGCATCCGGTGCAGCGCTCCCGTTATGGATTGCATGAAGTGGAGAGAATGGCACTTGTGCTATTTGCCATGCTATTTGCCATGCGTATACACGTACAAGGTCTTTCGCCTGGGCTGAATGTGGAACGATGCAGAGTGTGTAGGTATTGGGTTGTGGTGTGCGCATTCGGCGTGCAGTCCTATCAGAAGCCCATGATCGGGCTATTGGAAACCATCGTAGCCGGCCAGACGACAACTATTGGACGGTGAATGATGTTGAGCGATAAATGCAGGTCGCAGCAACCCTTTCGACGAGTTGCCGATCTGATAGTAGTCCAAGTTCGGCATTGAACGGGTTTCCTCGGACTCTAATCGGGGCGTTCCGACAGTGGCGTTTTCCCATCCTTGCCCTCGCATGTTGGCCGGGCCTTGTTGCTTTTGGCAATGACAGAAAGGCCAATTGAATCATGAAGAGGCTCCATAGCATAGCCGGTAGGACCCATGAAGCCCTATTGGGAGGAAGTAGAAGTAAGGGCGAGAAAGAATCGTCTACTTTCCGAATCATGGACATGGAGGCGGGTTTTCCGTTGCTTGTTGTCTCACAGCAGCACGCATTTGCACGTTTGCCCATTTTACGCCACAAGGATATTGAACCGACAGTCTCATCCAAGTACCACTGTGCTGCTGCTTTTCTCCCCGTGCTCGGTCGCAAAAGACTATCATCTCCGCAGCACGCTTGTGTGTGCTAGCCGTCGATCCGGCATGGGGGGACCACGTTGACGGTTGTGTGGACGGGATGCGCCGCGTAAGGGCAAGCATGGGGAAACTCGGCAACATCTCACTCAGCACTTGGTTAACTCTGATAATGACATGGAATCTTTCCGCAATTCCCTCATTGCTGCTGAGTAGATGGTTGGACAAGCCCGTCATACTCGGGCAAAGAGTCAACGAATGGTTTCCATCGTACCATGAGTAGGCACATGTAAGAATGGAAGCCATGACGGCCGACATTACGGCCAGCGGCATGTGCTAAAAGATACATGTACAACAATCAGGGCCAATACAGTGTCCGGCGTAATCGTATTGTTGCCGCTGTGCCTCTCCGCATCGTCTGTGTCTGTGCCTTGGAAACCCCCATGCTCATTTATGGGTTGTATGGGCCAAGATAGATAGCGCACGGTGGTCGGTCCTTGAGCGCTTTTTCTCACTCGAACCATCACCCCATCTCCATACAGACCCCAGAAGCCCAGAGACTCCACAAGAGGCCTGGATGTCTCAGACTTTGGGGGGCAGCCAAGGCACCACGGGCTTGGAACAGCTCAATGCGCTCTTTAGCGAGGGACTGGCGTACAAGTACGAAGGACAGCAATGCGGCCAGAGGGTTGTTTGACTCAGGACCGTCTTTGGACCGGACACGTTCTGCAGCGTTCAATCCGGACTGCCCTCGCCTCGTTCCCGGTTGCGTGCGTGCGTGTGCATTTGCATTTGCATTTGCCACACGGACGGCGATGATGACATTGAGCGTTGCTGGGAACGAAATCGAGACGAGTCCACATTTGTGCATAAGGCACAAGGGACATGGGAAACAAGGCTGCCTGTTACAGCAGCAGCTGTGCGAGGACTGAAGCGGCCAAGAGGGAGGGAGTGAGTTGGGTGCAGGGAATAGCTACTAAGGTAGACAGACCAGAAGAGAAAAAAAAAAAAAAAAAAAAAAAAAAAAAAAAAAAAAACTTCAAGCCCGGGCGGCAGGCAGCCCAAAGAGACAAGAGGCGTGTCCCTACGAAAACGTGGAGTCAGATCGGGGATTTTGGAGCCATGTATCTTTTCCCCACAGGTACAAAGTCCCTCGAAAGGCGGGTGGATCGTCAAAATTTCTCAACCGGCGCCTTCTCTGGCGTGGGATGAGAAAAAGATAACGGCGGGGCTCTACAAGTATAGTAGGCCATGATGCAATTAGGAGAATTTTTCCCCCTTCTTTTTCCAGAAGCATGTGGGCAAACGCATGGACCAGGAAGATTGGGAAGCTGGGAACCCGAACTCCGTACCGGTACCGTTTAGTAGGAGGTGGTTTGCCTTGCACTGCTTATCCCCAGGGCTAGCATGGAGGATTCCGTACTATTGACAGCGATAATGCAAGCTCGGCCAAGGATGAAGGGATTAGATCTAGGTTGGTGGAAGACGGAAGACGGAGAAAGCACGCAGTCAGTTTGCTGCTGGGCGCACAGGGACAGCAACGCCGAAAACTCTGCTGACTCTGCTCTACGCTACCCGTTGACAGAGCCAGGAACACACACAGTTGAGCTGTCCCAACGCATCGTGGCTTGGCTGTGACAGTGGCAGTGACAGCCCGAAATGGGCCCCTGGTGGCAAACGTCAAGAGAGAGAGAAAAAAAAAATTAGCGGAATTCCAATGTGCCGCCGAAAAAGGCCCAGCGCACCCATCAAGGCATGGCATGGCACGGCACGGAAGAGACCCTGCTATGTATGTGCATGTATGTACGAGGACTCGCCGAGCCGAAGCTACAGACATGTCAGCCGAGCGGCGAGCAACATCATGCCAGAACTCTCGCTGCGACCCGCGCGGAGAAGCGACCCCTGGCCGGAGCTGATCTGGGTAGGTCGCAATGGCGATTATTAAAAGAAATTTAAAATTATTAAAAGAAATTTAACATGGATGCGGGCGAATGTTCTTGTGTCGGACAAGGGAAAAGAAAAGAAAACAACAGAGCAGTGCTGCTTTTGGGAGGCACTGAGCTTAGCTGAGCTGCAAGTAGCTACATTCCCTCAAAGCAAGCATCTCAGATCGGGAGGATCGCCTTGTGCTTCACTCAATGCAATCGATCACCACCCCTGCTCGACCAATTAGCCGCCCCATCCACGGTAAAAATCCAACAGACCGGTATCGTTGTTTGGCCTAATCCATCAACGCATTGCCCTGCGTGTGCCGCCTGCAACCGCCATCAGCGCCAGTCTTTCTAGATAAGCACTCATCGGCAGCTCGTTTCAAAGATGGCTAAAGGAAAGTATTCCAGTACAGCAGCTTCTTTATCAGAGCCAGGTCTGTGTAATCAAGGATGACTGCTTCAAGTACGATACACTGGCGGTCGATAAATCTCATGAGGTTGAAGACCAGCTCAACCATCTACATAATGTAAAGGGGGCCCGTCAAGATCAGTGCATCTGGCGTCTGGATTTCTCATGATCACAAGTGCATTGATAATCGTCAAGACCAAAAGGTCTCCCCTTGAGCCCACCATCCAGAGCGATCAAACGTTCAACAGCGACGGGTGCTGCAATGGCGAGTTCACAGCTTGCCGCAAAGTGATGAAGCGCTAACATAGCTATTTTGGCTATTCCGCGCCAGGCGACATATATATCTGATGATTGACCTTCAAGGTGGCATCTCAGCATGGAATTAACCCTTTCCATCTTGTTTAGTAGTCGGAATTGTGAGCATTATCCCGTCTCACGACGAACTGTGGCCTTCTTCGCATACGAGTAATCACCTCCGAATAACCTCCAGGAACCATAGAGTTTTCCAAGACGATGAAGCGGTAGGCACCATCTACTTGCCTGATCCTGTGATGGGAATGGAATGATATTACACGTGCCTTTATACGGAGACATATCTAGCCGAGGCTGAGATGAACAGTAACGGAGATGGAGCACATGTCGTACTGCTCAGTACGTTATCGTTATAATGCAAAGAAGCATCATCATTATAGCTCGTCTTACTGCGTGCATGCGGCTGAGATATGATATCGAGTTGCCCGTATTATACAATGCAAATTGGCCTCAGCCGTCCTAACCCCAAATAGATTTCCCGGCCGGGATCCCGCCACCTCGTCATGCTATATTCGCTAGGCTTGTCTCGAACTGATAGCAAGACCGCTCGGTGGAGAGGCGGCTCCATCTTCTCGCTCCATCTCGGGAATACCTACACGTACGAGTACGGCGCAGCCAAGGCCATCGGCGTTTTGCCGGCGCTTAAACTGACCCCCCGGTTTTTCCCAGCTCAGGTCAGTCCGTCTCGTTGTTACTTCGGTCGCCATCCCCGGCCTCGTCGTCGTCGTCCTCATAATAGTAGTCCTGGAGCCCATCGTCCGGCTCCTCTTCGCTTAGGCCGGCCTCTTTGCCCAGAATCAGGTCCTCACTCCCTTGCCATTGAGACGGCGGCGGCGGCAGTGCATCTTCGTCTTCATCTGCCCAGCCGTAGTCTTCGTCGTCGTCGCTGTCCGGCACCTCCAGCTCCGTCTGCCCCAGTTTCCTCTTTGGACGGGGGGCCATTGCCGCCACCTCCATGCCCGGATCATTGACTTGGTAGTGGACACTTGATATGCCGGCCTGTCCAAGCTGAGATTAGCATTTTCAAATGCCGGCGCTTGCGTGTGGCCAATGTAACGTACGGGCTCAACTCTGAATGCAGACACATGCTCGACGGCGTCCTGGACTACCCTACCGTCAATCTTCTGCAGGCCTGCCAGAAAGACGCTGGAGGACTTGTTGCCGTTCCACGCCCAGTCCCGGAATAGAGCTAGCCTTGTAGACACGCCTTGCTCCCACACCGTGGTGTTGATGGACGGAATTAGTGTGGGTTTCTGCTCGCTTCTCATCTTTGTTGCGCATTGCGATAGTAGGACGACGGCGCAGTTCTTAGTTGCGGCGAGCTTCTGCAATGTGGTGATGATAAACTGTAACCCTTGTAGGCGTTTTGAGGCTTGAGTAGGGCCTAGGAAGCATTGCATTAGAGAGAGATACTCGCAGTAACGATTATACCTGATGGATACATGCCTTTTGCTTGTTTTTGCTTTCCTCTCCCTTCCAATGACCTCGGCAAAGATGAATTGATCAAGGCCGACGGAGAGCTAATAATAATAAGCGAGACACCTGAAGCAATGGTAGTTGTTGTTGGTCGAGATATAAACGCAAGTAGATGAGGCAGCGTCATGCAAGAGTACTGGACCAGCTTGCTTGGGTCTACTTCTTGCGTATCCCCCGTTGCCGTCAAATGTCGTGACTCTTGGACGCGTTTCAGCACATTTGCTATCCTTTGAGCTTGTAGTTTTTGAAAGCAGTCTAGATGCAATCGGTTTATGTTAGTTGACAGTGTTGATGCTGGGAATATCTTGTTTCAAGTCGTCAAACCGACCTACCCAGACCACGCCGTTACCACCACTCAGGGCATTGGCGGCCAGTTGAATTCTATTGCCTCCCATTAGCATCTATAAACATGAAAAAAGGCATATTATTTGCGTTAGAACATCATCTACATCATTGCGCTCTCTTACCCTAATGCAGTTTTACCACAACCTGGAGGTCCCCATATCTCAGTCACCTGTCCGCGCTTGACGCCGCCCTGCAGCGCGGCATCTTGCGAATCAGCCGAGTCAATCCCTAGCAATGCACGGTCAAGGTCTTCCAATCCCGTTGAGATGTGAGTTGTCGGGCCAGCCTTCAAGTCTTCCCAAGCCTGTGACGCCGGCACCGTCGGGAGACGATCTGAGAGAAGCCACCGAGATTAGCCCATTGCCACCACGAACAGCCCGGGAAAGCTTACGCGTTGAGCTCGACGTGTCAAAACTGGCAATGTCATGGCCATGGATGGCATGATAATCCATGATCCATAGCTTTGCCTGAGCTGGGCCGCGCTATCACGAGAAGCTGTGCAATATGGCCAACGTGTGAAGCTGCACCGAGACGTAGCGCGCACGGTAAGTCGCGGAATCACGTGATATAACCTTTTCCATTTACGGAGTACAAGTACAGAGACAGAGACCTCCGAAAGCGGTAATCAGCTCTCGCCTAGAATTCTTCCTCCCAGAGACTGTATTTCACACAGCATCACCGTTGCTCCGTTCCAATGCTAAGCCCTCAAGTTTCCAACTGCTTACTGTCAACACCCCTTTCCACATTATTTATTTCTCTTTTCTACGAGTTTGCATCATTATGTCTCGACTTCTTGGGTACGGAGAATTGCGGCCTCGTGTCGGCGAATCTCAGATACCAGGGCCTTGTGTGAACCCCATGCTCAGCACGGGCGTTGCTTGTGAGGCATAATCGTCAATAGCTCCGTCTTTAGTCATGACTCTCGGACAAAGCGGGTACAGCTGAAAGCATACCTAGTATGAGAAGATAGAGCCGAGCATGGCTCCGTGTTCTTTTTCTGAGCATTTCCCCATCTAAGCAACTACCTATTGTAGTTCGTGGTGCCATGATACGTTGACAGTTGCATTGTTCGTGTACTGAACTATCGTATATTCCACAACCGCCTATATCGCTTCTGTGTAGTAGCCCAGCGACATGTATAGAGGAGCATTTCTATGCCCTCTTCTCCAATGCTGATAGCATCTCAAAACGGCGACTCATTGCTGACCAAAACAACCCGATATCCATCCGGGTCCTCAAACGTCTTGCCGCATCGATCCCAATACGGGTTAAAGCTCGTCACGGCCCCAAATCCAGCCTTCTCCATCCTCGCCACTGCCTCCTTGAAGTCGTTGCCCTCGGGGAGATAGAACACTAGCAGGTTGTCCTCTGTAGGCGCACGGCCGGCGGTGTGTCCGTTCTTGGCCGTAAACTCAAGATGGTAGCCTGCACCCTTGTGGCCAAGCATGATGCCGTCAAAGTCCTCGTGTTGGTTGAAGCGGAAGAGCACCTCGAAGCCTAGCCCATCGACGTAGAATGGTACCAGGGCGTTGATGTTGTCCGATGGACGAGCGATACGAAGGGTGGCTGTCTGAATAGGCATTGTGGCGGTAGGATCGTCTGCAAGTTCAAGTTGCTAGACAGAATGTATAATGTGACTACTGGAGAGAGGCGTCGTGAAGCTGAGATATGCCGTAGAAAAGCGAAGGACAAGCTTGTAGCTTTCAAACCTTCACAATGGCCTCATCTGTGGTATGATTTATTTCGGTTCTACTCGTAACTACGACGCCATAGAGTATTACAAAGCTCCGTACCTCACCATCAAGTGCTTGCTGAGCAGCTGCAACAAGCAAGAACCAATAGTATTCGTATTCAAGGAGTCACGATGCGAACCAAGGAAAGGTGATGAGAGGGCGTTTTTTGACGTAACTACATAGAACATTGCCCTCTGAATTTGTGAAAAAGTGCCTTTTAGCCAATGAATAGCTAAGACGTCAATCAAAGGGCGCCGGTCTGCTCGTCTATACCGTTGAAGGTGTCATAACCCGACAACCCCTCAGTTGGGGGCTGAGAAAGATGTTGGGCAAGCCACATATCAGGGCGGTTTCTCCCCTACGAAGAGAGAGGGCAAGCCACAGATGGTCAAATTAAGGTAAAAGGACGGGTGACCAGAATCTTCCACTGAAGATCTGGGGAAAACGCCAAAGCTCAAAGATCTACAGTATGGAGTTCGTGTCGCCTAGTGTTTTCTCCTGCGAGAACGTTGCATGTGTAAGCTAAACTCACAAGATTGACCGAGCATTGAAAAAAAAAAAGACAAACACTTGCGTTTTCGCACAGCAAGTCCGTCGCCGCAAAGGAGATCTCGGAGATTCGCCTCATCGCCCAAAACGGCGCTTTCTTTCGAGATCGGAGTACGCCGTACCAAGCACAGCTCGTGCGTGGCACACTCACACTCACACAGACACTGTACTCGTACAAACACAACAAAAAATTGCTCGGGTGCTTCATTCAGGGCACCGTCCGTGTGGGGCGTTTCTCCAGAACGCCACCAAGGGTCCTTTCGGCTCAATGGCTTCTGCCCTCCTGCGCCTTTATTCGCGCGGCGTCGCCGAAATCTCCTGAAGAAAGCTTTGGGGGAGCCCCAAACGAGCAAACGAAACGAAACGGCTGCAAGGGCGGTGCGACGTGACGACGACGCTCGCGGCAAAGAAAGCCGAAAGTTGTGCTCCCAAAGTGACGAGCCTAGCCAATTGGTAGGCTACGGATGCTTCATCTTGATGCTGGCGGCATCTTTGGGCTCCAGGATCCCCCCATTGCGAAGCCCATACATTGGTGTGCTCATACGTGGTGCCAGTCGTTGCAGCGTGTATGACAACAAACAGTTCGCAGCGGCCAATTATGTGCTTGTTTCACCCAAGGCAGCTCTAGACACGTAAATCTAGAAGCAGTCGTAGCGAAACGTTTCCACGCCATGGTCCGATGTCCGAACATTCCAGATCCCCCATTGTGGCACCTATCGCATCCGCCTCCTGCCCCGTGGGGTGGGAAGTTTTACTTTGCCTCTTTTTTTTTTCCAGATTGCGTGAGGGAGAGTGTGCTTGTGCGGCGACCAACCACCCCCTTGAGCTTTTCATTAATCAAAAAAGTGTTCCTGCGTCAATCGGACAGGACAAAGGGGGAGGGTCAGGAAAAACATGTTTCAGCCTAAAAGCTGTTTTCGATGCTTATCCAAGAAACCGACTCGTCACCCAAAGAAGGTTTCCGGGAGCATTTAGATCTTACGGCATCAGGTATGCCAATATTTGCCATTGCGAGACATGAGTACTTGTACTGTATCAACCTTGGTCAAAGAACCCAGGGGCAAATATGTGTAAGAAGTGTCCGTACTTTTGCGTCTGACAACGGAAGAACCGTGGGGAGTGAGCCCGACAAATACTCCAGGTTTTAGTGCACACCCCCATGGAGGCGTAACACGTTGCATCGTCAGAAACGAGAGGGTGAAAAAGTCCCAACCCGGACCTGAGGCTGATGATGCAATGTGAAGACCCTATTGGGTTTCCCCCTTCTTCCTTCCTGGCCCCCAATCGCCAAGCCACTTGGTCTCTTCCAACCCAGGTCGTATCAATCTGCAAATTGTTCTCCGTTGAATAAAGAGAAAAAAGCCCGGAGCCCCGCATAAGCGTTTTCCTTCTCCAGGTCTAGATCTTCAAATGGTTCGGAGCGAGATATGGCGTGGTACCTGTAGTACCATTGCACAAACGAGCACCACTGTACCCCGTTTAGACCTTGTTAGATCACAACTGATAGGAGAGGTTGTGGGTGGCTCGGCCGGCGCTGACCGTCAGCTCTAATTAGTATTAGCCGTCGCCCTCTGTACCCCCCTTAGGCGTAGACTTGGCCTTTCCGTCCCATTAGCCGGCATAGTTTCTTATCAAAGAGCACGCCAATCGCGAACCGGAGGCGCGGAGTGTCGCAATCTCCAACCAAGCAGAGGCGTCAGCCAATGGTGAGTTGATGCCGAGGCGATGCTTCGGCTATCGCACGGGGCACAAACACCCGCAGCAAGCTGTCGAGAATGGTGAAGGCCTCCATGGTCCCGTATACCGAGCGGAGCCCCGCCTCCGCTGGAGAAACTGGGAAATTGGGGGCAGAGTCACGATAAGCACGTGGGTGATGGCGAGGTCTGATTTGGCTCGGTCAGTGTCCACCTCGGCCGTCGCTGAGCGAGAAAAGATAATCGAGGCGATACGCACAAGGGCCTTTCTTCATTTCTCTTCCCCGTGTTACATGTGAAACTGGGCGAGATGACGGGCGTCCAAGCCGGAAATCGGGGCCCTAGGAATTCCGGCCGCGGACCATCAAGCAACGTACCAATCTCGAGAGGCAAGGCCTGGGATGTATTGCCGCGAGCTCCCCGAGCTGAAGCATTCCAGACTCAGCATCTGGCATCCCTTTTTGGTTGATATTCGGCCTGCTTCTGCTCTGGAACCCGGTTGACCCCAGTCCAAGCCCTCTGTACTGTACGTTGTTGGGTCCTGCCTCTCCGTAATTCAGCCGAGTTGGCCGTTCAATATCTCTCCATATTCGGACACCACTCCCCCCATCCATCTCCCGTCGGGGAGATCCATTTTGAACCGGTATCTCGGTTTGAAGCAGCAGTAGTAGTACATGTAGTATTGACTATTGTGTACATCTTTGGTTCTAGCGCTGCCCTTTTTTGTCAATGTTATGCACATGCTCAGCTGTCAGTCCGTACCTGTATGCAGTTGGCAGTGTTGCTTCCAGGCAATGGTCTCCTCTTTAGCCACTTTGACAGGCATGCCGGTTTCCCTAGTTGGACCAAAATGTACGCAGCACTTTGTTTGCGCCGAGCATTGATCCGGAAGACATGATGTCCTGATACGAAGGATCCCATGGATGGACCGAATATTGAACGAAACGATCAGATCACGCCCATCCATCCTTATCACCTTTCATCTCCCCTGCGTGGGGTTTTAGCGGGCATTGACTTGACTTGGTGGAGGTTGTCAAGGGGTGCCGTCAGGATAACACCTGAGCAAAATGGGGCGACTCAAAATATGGCCTCATCAGTTATACCGCCGTTGGTACTCCGTAACTCCATACCTGTGCTTGAAGTACCCGCTGCGAGGAGTGTTTTCTGATGAATCACCATGCACGAACACTGGCCTCCGGAAGAAGGTGCCAAATGATTATTTGATTATTTTGATGCTCACCCAAAGCGGCCGTGTTTGGTGGATTGGACGCAACCATGTCGTCTTTGCTCCCCCCTTCCACACAGGTGATAATCCTCCGTATTGGTGGATATTTTCCCATGTTATTTTTGGGCCATGAAACCAAAGCACAGGCTCTGTAACCTCTGTTTCATCGCTGCATACTCCAAGCAGGTCGCATTCAATGCCTTGGGCAGCCTGGGGCAACCTGCAGAGTTCCTTGTCCGGGGTGTCGGCCGGTCTTCCCCGTTCCGAGAAAGTTACGTGGCGGTTTGGTTCGGTGACAAGGGGAACAACATTCAGGAGATCTAAGATCATTGACCCCCCGGATTTCCTGAAACAGCTTAGGCGGCGCAAGGGTCGGCTCTCCAGATGTACTCGTACACATGTATACAAGAATACATGGCCAGGCAGCTCGATACAGGGCCGCACAAATTACGACTCCTGTACGGTCCCCCCGTAGCATGAACACAGGCGGCGGTAAAAAGGCCGGGCTCGGGAAAGAGAGTTGATAAAGAGGCGCGCTAATAGCAATGGCCAATCCGTTTGACGGGTGCCTAGACCGCAGGAATGGGGACTTGGCACCACTGCGGATCAACTCTGCTGAAGCCCAGAGCACGCCTTGCGATAAGAGAGTCCATCATTTGGACAATACGAATGGGGAGGTGGCGGCCGTACCAGAACTAGCCGCCATCTTTGCGCTGCACCAATTGCAGGGAAAATCTGGTGCGAGATAACAACCCCCACATTCTACCGTAGGGAGCAACCAGGGGTGTTTCTGGGGACCCCGGCTGGGGTGATGGAGGTAGCATAATTTGGCAGGCCCCTTCCAAGACATGTTCCGCCGAGGATAAGGAAGGTGAAGAGTCATGGAGAATGATAGTCGGGAGTGTGTCCTCCGTATCTGGACCAAAGGAGCATGTACTTTTGGACTCCAAGGGCGCGCTAGGAATGGTGGACACCACTTGGGGGGCCGGCTGGTGAGTGAGAAGAATAGGAAAGTCTGGGGAAGCATCCTCTGGGGAATGCTGCATATTTCCATATCCACACCCATGTCTCACGGACCGTCGCGATCGCCTGTGAAGAAGCAAGATGAACCAGCTCAATTACGGACTCGCGTTCGGAAAAAGGCAGTGGTACATGGTAGCAATGCCCACTCCTCGGAGCATCCAGTGAGCAGAGAGGCAGCATGGTCCCGGCGAGCTAACAAATGTGCTGAGCACCATGGCCTAGCATTGTCAAGGCAGGTCGCATCTATTCGCTAACGCCATTCATTCTTCAGGTGAGGCAAGATTGAGTCTGTGAGATCGCTGGAGACGGCATTGCGGAGGCTACGGTAGCCCCAGACCTCTGACATGACCAACGGAAATCAGACCATGGGAAGGGCGACGGCAGGCAATGGACAGGAGAGGGGTGTCAAATAGCCGAGACACGGCAACATTGTCCACGGAAGAAACTATGAAGAGACTGCATCTCGAGCCTACCGCAACTAGCAGGAGGTAGCTGTTATTTGGTAATAGGTTGAGTGAGGCCTGGATACGGATTGGTTGCAGTAGTGAGTTGATTGCACGAAGAGGCCAGAATAAACTGAACGGAAACGAGTTGGGCACGCTATTCTGCATGCGTCTGGCTCTCTTTTTTTAAGCGCCTGTATTGCGAACCAGTAGACGGCTGTCGTCAAGTGATTGACAGGATCCCCGGAGGCGTGACCACATACTTCATGGGGGTTTGCTAACCCACGATAACGACTTATGGACTCGGCTCTCCCCTGATATCGGCGCAGAGTACGGAGTAGGCGCTTGATAACCTGACCCCGACTGGCGAGCCGCCATGGCTATTGTTGGTGGGCGTGACACTTGGGACCCCCACATTTGGCCCATGAATATGTTTTCATTATCGCTGCGACTGATGGCATGAGGGAGCTGTCACTGCGGCCCCCAAACAGCGGGATGTTAGTGTCCTGATGACCCTCGAAGCCGGGGATGAGAAGAGTACGGGCGCTGTCGAAGCAGCAAGACGAAGCCAGCTGACTGGGCAGTGCTGATACCTGAGCAAAGAGCAGAAGAAGACGGCAAAGAGACGAGAACGGGAGTATGGTATGCGCACGTGTCCAGTTGTTGCGCATCCCACAGAACCAATCGTTTCCTACCCATGCTCTTGTTTCTCTCGTGAGCACTGTATTTCTCTTTTCCCCTCTTCCTCTGTCTTTTTCTCCCTCATCGCCCTTCTCACTCACTCTATCATTCTTGTCTTTTTTTCTCTGAGTGAAATTCCACCCCGGCATCGCATCATCTCACCTTTGCCCTACTAGCAAGGAGGAATGCACGACGCAGTGGAATTTAGTGCTATAGCACAGTTAGCATGCTGTGAGCGAACACTAGCACCAGGCCACCTTGGCTTTCAGGTTAGCGTTCGGCCCCACGACACGGGAAAATGAGTCGTGCCCAGAAGCCAGTTGAAAAGAGACGGGAGAGTAATGGCTTCGTCCTGGCAGCGAGCCACGGGCGATCATTGATGCGCAAAAGAGCCGGTTCTTTTGTGTGCGGCCAGCCAGAAACCACCCACACCAGAACCAAGCCGTATTCCGTACCTGTAGGCTATCCGCAAAAAGACGCCAGTGTTGCCAGATGCTGGCGGGCAAAAAGGAAGAATCCCGTTGGAGACGCAGCCCCCAGGAACTCGACGGCCGCACGCAGCGTCATGCTGTTCAAAACCGTCCTAGGCGACTCTCCCGGCTTGGTTTCGTCTCCAGGTAGCACTTGTTCGTCCTCCATACCTCACAAAGCCACGCGAATAGCTTTTCCGGGGAATGGCGGCCAATCAGTCGAGCACGACAGAGGCTGCGCCTCATTCCGCCCGATACCGTACAGACCAGCAGCCGGGGGTACGAGTACGAGTACATCGAGCCGGACAGGACATGGCTGGCGGTCGAGCTTAGTGATGGCGATGGACTGAGAGAAACGTAATTTGAATCTGAGGTGTACGAGTAAGAAGCTCGCTCGCCCGGTGGAGCGGGCATAAGAGAAAAAAAAAAACTGCACTGAGGTGCTAAGAAAAAATTCTCAACAGAAAGGCACCAGACACAAAAAACACACGCCAAAAAATGGAAAGAACCTCAACTCCCTTCACCGTGGTTTCCACTCTCGCGGTTTGGCGCCGATGGGGGTCCCAATAGCGGCAAAACGCTCAACCTTGGAACTCTTCTGGTTCTGGTGAGGGGGGTGGCAGCGCATCTCACAGAACACTGCATTGAGCACGTTAGTAACATCAAATGTACCGTCGTCGAGGTGGTACCTCCGTCAACAGCGAGAATCTCCCGTGGGCCGAGCTGGCATCGGCCATCTCACTGAGCCCTGTATCGGACAAGGTATCTGACCCAAGCGCACGCCCCGCCATCGCACGCCCCCTCCCTGCGGTCCCCTTCGCCCCAGCTGGGGCTCCCACTGAGGGCGAGGGCTGGGGCTTTGGATGCTGGGGCTGGTACAAACATTCGCGAGCGGACAGGTACCCCGTACCCCTTTCGTGCCCTGGCGACGTGTCCCGTCTTGCTCCCCTCCAGCCCACTGGACGGTGCCGTGCAGTGCTGTTGCACCCCCAAAGGCACTGCCTAAGCCCTGCGTGACGCCCCTGATTTACCGCCGCGTGTAGCGAGGGCTAGCATGTGCTTCGCGTTGATGCAGTGGAGGTACTTGTCCGCAAGTACCTGCACTCCCTCCCACTCCCATGTACGAAGTACCGACCCGGCCGAGCCCGCCCTTATTAAAGCGATTGCCTCCCCCAGTCCCCTCCTTCTCCCGAAGGAAAAAAAAAAGTCTCCCTCGATCAAGGAAAAGCAAAAACCACACCATAGCCACTCGCACAAATCTAATATCGCATCTCGATCTTGCAACTACCGACGACAAGAGCCTCTTTCACCTTAAAAGAAGACAAGCAGCACCAACACCAGCCACAGCCAGATAATCGCACAGCGGTCCTCCCCACTGCAAGGGCAACGGCATATACGTACCACTCCACCATCGGACACACGCTCGCTTCTCTGGCCGTTCTAGTCAGCGTCTACTCGCTTTGGCTGCCGCTCGATCACATGCAACGAGCTCAGTCTGCCGTGGATTTTTCCAATCTACTCAACCCAACTTCGGCAGCAGGACAGGACAGCGACGCCGACCAAGGCAGCGGAGCCATGTCTACCGCTGCGGTTACCGTCATCAAGCCCAATGGGCCTCTTCCGGGGGCGCAGTCGACAGAGACTGCCAACGAGCTTCCTCGTCCTTACAAGTGCCCTCTTTGCGAAAAGGCTTTCCACCGTCTGGAGCACCAGACCAGGCACATCCGCACCCACACGGGCGAGAAGCCTCATGCCTGCCAGTTCCCCGGCTGCAGCAAGAAGTTCTCTCGTTCCGATGAGCTGACCAGGCACTCGAGGATACACAGCAACCCCAACTCCAGGCGCGGCAACAAGGGCCAGCAGCAGCACCAGCAGCACCTTCACCACCAGGGTCTTCCTCACCACATGCACGTCGATGGCATGATGCCCCCTCCGGTGCCAAAGGCCATCCGCTCTGCTCCCACCTCGACTCTTGTCTCGCCCAACGTCTCGCCTCCCCACTCTTACTCCTCCTTTGTCATGCCCCAGGCGCCCATGCCTCACTACAACCGTGGCAATGATATCACGATGCTGGCAAAGGCTGCAAACCAGATTGAGCGGGAAACTCTCTCTGGCGGCTCGTCCAACCACAGCTCAAGGCACCATCCCTACTACGGCCAGGGCATGCCGAGTTCTCGAGGCCACCCGCCTTCCCTTTCCTCGTACCACATGGCGAGATCTCACTCCAATGACGATGATGATCACTACGGCAGCATGAGGCACGCCAAGAGGTCAAGGCCCAACTCGCCCAACTCCACGGCTCCCTCTTCTCCCACCTTTTCCCACGACTCTCTGTCTCCCACCCCGGATCACACTCCCATCGCAACTCCCGCGCACTCCCCTCGACTCCGCCCCTTTTCGGGCTATGAGCTGCCGAGTCTGAGGAACCTGTCTCTGCAGCACAACACGACTCCGGCGCTGGCCCCCATGGAGCCCCACCTGGATGCTCCCCAGTTCCCCCCTCAGCTGCAGGCAAACAACAACCGCAGCCCCGGCATGTCGCTTACCGACATCATCAGCCGCCCCGACGGGAGCCAGAGGAAGCTCCCCGTTCCTCAGGTTCCCAAGGTGGCGGTGCAGGATCTCCTCTCGGACGGCGTATTCCCTAACAGCGGCAGAAGTTCAACTGCAGGCAGTCTTGCAGGCGGCGACCTCATGGATCGGATGTAGAGAATCCCTTACTCTGGCGCCTCGAATGACTTGATGACTTTGGGCTATAGAAGGATAGAAAGAGACGGCGTTTATGGTATGGAAATGGAAATGGAAATGGAAAGAGTCGTCCCTCGAAGGACTTGACACGGCTATTTTTTTTCTTCCCTTTTTTGTTTTCTTCTTCTTTTTTTTTTTTTTTGGTATTTGCAGGGCATGGAATCCTACACAAGACGGATGGCCAAAGGACATATAGACATTCACCACTTCCCCAACGGATTACTGTTGACTACTTTTTTTTTCTGTTTCTTCTCTTCTCTTGTTTCAAGTTGTTGTTTCTATACAGTGGAAGATTTATTATTGGATTCAACAGCGGCGTGTTGCTTTCGCAGCATGACAGTTGGCCCAAAAAAAATCGAAAAAAGACATGATCATTTACACACGCACGCGCTCCAATCTTTCCTTAGTTTTGTACAACCTAAGCATTTTCTTTTTTTTTACTTGCTGCTTCTTGGTCCATTTGCATGCCGCATGCCGCTAGAAAGCCCGTCTTCGGCATTTGGCATCTGAGAGCTTCGGCAACGGCATGGGCTGGCATTTGACTGGGGAATACCAAAACACGTTTGGTGTTACAAAATATGGGGAAACCTCATGCACTATGGGGGAGGCGGCAGCGCTATTCAGGGGTGGACAGGTAATGGAGGGGGGAATGAAGGGGGAAGGAAAAGCCACGGGCAAGCGGTGCATCCGTGGAACCCGCGGTTGCGAAGCATGACTTCATAGACATTGAAAGCTGAAGGATTAATGATGGTTGGGATTTTTGGTAATAACTAGGTACTGGGTAGAGTACGGTAATGGCAAAGCGGGCGGGCACTTGTGCTCTCCTGTGTAATGTTTGGACGAGTTTGAAGTTTCATTCAATGTTCTTTTGCGTTTGGGATTTGAGGCTATCCTTCCGGTGTTTCCCGCCTTATCTCCTGATGGTCAACCGGCTATCGTACGAAGGGGAATAAGATAAGTGAGCACAAGTATTACTCCCCGTAATACGGAGCACTTGGGCTAAGAGAAAGAGCGAAATTGCGGGGGAGGGGGTGGTGTAGAGTGTTTAGTTTATCCGGAGAAGCCTTAATTCAAGCTCAGTCTTTTGTGTTCTCATTTTTGGCTTCTGTCTGAAAAAGCAACCGGGGAGGGGGAAAATGGCGAGATTTGACGCTGCTCTTGAGCCAAAGGTCGGTATCTTGTCTACCTTGGCGTTGATTGCATGGTGCAATGAACCGACATTCTTCGTAGGGCGGGTCTCAGCGCTAGGAAGGTTTATCTCTGGGGGAGGGCAATCAGGCGGGATACCTTACACCCAATGTCCACCACACACAGCTCTTCTCTCTGGGTGCCTTGAGGGGGGTGGTTTTGCCTTTTTTTCCCCGGGGGGTGTGTCTGGGCAGAATTAGAAGGGGGGGAACGGATTTGTTTGGCTCGCTTGGATGGAATGCAATGGAAGGGGGGAGGAGGCCCTTGTGTGTGGGAGGGAATACCACTTAGATACGGGGGGGAAGAGATTCTCATGGTTTGAAATGATTTGCTGGGAGGGGAATGGCCATGATACGAAGTGCTACTAGTCAAAGTGTTATCGCGGGATAGAGCAAGCATGTGGCTTTGCGTGGTTGTGCTGCTGTAACTCTGGCTGTGACTCTTGGACGGCCACATGGCTTCCCTTGTGTGTTGAATTTCTCGCACCTGATGCTGAGAAAATAATATGACGATGGCTTGATACGAGAAAAAGTGGCCTGCGTGTGATACACATGATTGATTGCCTTGTGTGCAGCCTCAGTTTCGTTGCGCGAGGCGGGCCTTGTTGGTTGTGCACAGGCGAAACGGGCTATGAATAGCATGTTGGAACCAAAATCTCAGGCATAGCATGGCGTTGAGCGGGTTTGATTGGATTTCCCGCCAAGTCTGGGGACTCCGTATTATCAGGCCTGTGGTGTGCGACTCCGTACTTGCACAGGCTGTGAGACGGCGCCATGCAGAACATGCAGAACCTGAGGATGGGCAAACTCCTTGGCCCTTTTCTGGGAGCCGCAGTTATCATCTTGCTTGTACAAGCTCAAGACACGCGTGTTCCTTCGATTCTGTTTGGATCGTGTCCTTGGTGGCGTCGCACGCTCTTGTGCGAGCTCTGCGAATTCTCACACCCTCTCTTATCCTATCATTTGAGCGGGCATGTGGCCATTTGCTCCCCCATCACATTCATCACTCTCTCCTCCCCACAGTAGAACGGCGACGCCCGGTGGACGCCCGTCATTTGTTGTTCCTTTTGTTTTTTTCAGGGTCCCTGGCACAGCCTGTTCATGCGTGGTTTAGGGAGTACATGGACTGGTATGAGTACACGACAGCCTGGAGCCTAAGGCAAGGTAGGCTTCGAAAAAGGAACACCCCGGGCCGGTTCAAGTCGGCCGGTAAGGCTGGGAAGGATTTTTGTTGGGTTTTCCGGACTGTGACGCAAGATGCAAAGCCCTGCTGGTACAGGCCCAGATGGGATGGATCGAGATCACGTCAGCGGTCTTTGGAGCTAACTACTAACTGTTCCGCCGTGGAAAAAAGAACGAGCGAAAAAATTGCTCCAAGTTTGTTAATAACATTAGAGAAATGATACAGTATTGGTCGCCCTGAGAGTATGACGTGTTTCACTCGGGACGGCACACGCGTTGCCCTTTCTAGCTAAGATGATGGCGGGTGATCTGATCAACAGATGATGGTGGTGCTGGTGCTCTCTTTACACCAAAACCGTTAGGTACATACACTACTCCTCTTACATGTACGAGTACCTATTATCACGGAGTAACATGGAGCGGTAATGAAATCCATGTCCGAGACGGTGAGAAGAGCCCATAGGTAGGTAGGTTAGTAGTCAAATGCTTCGCCTCGACTTTTGACGACCACACGTACGGAGTACAAGCAAGTAATAGGAGAAATGTAACCGTGTTTTACGTACAAAGTACGGAGTACGGTGAGTGGAACTCTCATGCAGTGCGTTTGCTACTGTTGTGTAAGGCGAGCGAACGGTGAGGTGGCTTGCATGATTCGCCTGTTACAGATGCTGCAGCTGAGACTCGCACTGAGACACGAAAGCACCTTTTCCTCTTGTCTTCTTCTTCTTCTTCTTTCTCCTTATTACACCTTTTCTTCACCGCTTCGAAACAGCTTGGCGAATGACAAGACTTGGCCTGACACATACACAGGGCGTTAGCGGGAATGCGTGTTGCGCGAGTGTGTGTGTACACACCAAACAGCGAAAAGCCTTGTTATGTTCCTGTTTTACCCGCAGCGCCGCCTTTTGCAACCACTCACAACCGCTCACCACCAACTCACGACCTAGTTTCGAGGTGGTGTGCTGTAAAGAGCACGCAGAAGGAGGTCGGGTTGGTTGCCTGTCAAGAAATAAGGGGGCTCTTGAGGAATGGCGGGGCTGCCATGGTGGGGGTTTTGGGTTTCTCCTGGGCCTCTTCCGTGTGAAGCATTCGTCGTCTTGTGTCTCCCTGTGTATGTACTCCATACCGATGGAAAAAATTTCCGCAAGTGGCTTTGTTTGGGTTTGGGTTTTTAGGGGTTTGGCATTGGGTTTTGTTTGGCTTGTTGCGTTTTTCTGTATGGAGTGCCGCGCAACCCCCCCACGTGAGCCACAAGATGAATCATTGGGAGAGAAGTTGTACATATGGCACATGTTTTGAATAGGTACTTTGTACGGAGTGCCGTGCAAGAGACTTGGGGCACGGAATTGCTGCAAGGCTCTTGAAAGGGCGCGTCTAATTGGGCACTGCACTCTTCTGAATTATTGCAAATGCTAATGCCCTTGAAAGAAGACGCCTTGAATGGCTCTTTGAATTCCCAGTAGGATGGATGGGATCAGAGATGCTACATCCTTCGCGGCCGCTAGCTCGACTTGCCCTCTCAAACATTGAACAGTTCAGATTTAGCCATCTCGCCAGTGTGGGGGTGGGGTTTTGGAGCCGGGACGGCGGGCGTCAGCAGACTCGAAGTCGTGATGTAAGCCTTTGATCGCGAAAAGACGCCTTGGAATTCTCTTGTGCTCTCAGGCTATTTTGGCACAGACGGGATGGAATTCTCCCCAGCCGTTGGGTGTAGAGTATCCTCGCCATCTAACCAAGGCAGAGCGCGAGGATTGCTGCCTCTGCGCTAATCATCTGCATCTTACTTGTACCCCTCTGGAGTCTCTCGTTGACGTCTAGCTCCAACAAAAGACATGGAAGCCAAAGAGAGACCCCTACCATACCATGGCCAGGCAAATCCTCGATATCATTTGATATCAGTTTGCATGAGGCGCCATGCACATGTATGGACAATCTCTGATTAGCACCGGCTCAGTCAGACATGAACTACCTGGTAGGCCTGGGGAAGGCGGGGAAATACAGTCCGTCAATTCTGCCTATCTTGCCGATAAAGCATTTGATTTCATGCAAGCTTGATATCTTCCGGGGGACTCCCCTCGCAGCAGCTCGCCTTTGTTTCTTATCTTGCGTTTGCCGGCGATACTCGCGGGGAATTTGGGGTGCCTCGAGCCTCGAAACAAGGCCGCGGCCTCGCCTTTGGTTTCCTAATCCGAGCATGTGGCCAAAAAAAAGCTGCACCGAGGCTAGATCATGGGCTACCTATTCCAAGGCGATTCACTCGGGCGATGCGGGAGGAAGGGTAGAGACGGCCCCGGCTTTGGTCTCGGTGCTAGCCACGGCTTGATATAGATGATGATGAAATTGCAGCCCCCACGAAGCCATCGCCGTGCTGTGCCATGCACCGCTGGAGATCCTTCTCCTTCTTGTGCTGGGGATCGCCTGTGGGGTTGGCAAAAGACAGCACGCTTCCCGGCGATAAGTGGCCAATCTAGGAAAAGAGCAAGATGCTGGGGACCCTGAAATGGTGCCTATCTTGTCAGCTGAACATGGAGCGCCGGAATACAATCGTCGACCGGACCGCAGTTTTACGGGCGACTCTTCAAGCCATCGTCT